CCGAGGAGGCACACCCTCGGTGGCGATCACCAGCCGTCCCTGCATCATCAGCAGTTCAACGCGGCCCAGCAGTTGCATCCCCTTCATCCCCATCACCTGCCGCCGCCACACGGCCAGTACGGTACGCCGCCCACGCGTCACACCACCATGGATCTCGAGGTGAATCTTCGTTTCCGCAACGCGTTCGCGTCCATCCTCGATCTTACCGTTTTTGCCGTTCTCCGTTCTTTCCATCGACGTTTACGGATCGTCGACGTCCGAACCACCCTTTATTTCCCTTATCTTCGTGTCTTTTTCGATCTCTTTTTTCGTATTTTCTCCACTTTGTCTCGTTCCCGTTTGTTCGAACCGCGCAGGGACGGTCAATACGACTCTCGATTTTCGACGACGACGACGGCGTACGATTTTAACGGATATTCCGAGGTCAAGAACCGAGAGTAACGAAGGGAAGAGGTTAATTAAGCCGCATCCACCTACGCCGCCCTCGTTTCGCGCGTGTGTCGTCAGCGCGGCGTCGGCGTCGCCTTCGCCGTCGGCGCCGCGTTCTCTCGCGGAAAGTTTACGCGCGTTCCAGCTTTCGTTCGATCGATGGATCGATCTCGAACGCGATAATAAAACGTCCCTGCGCGTCCGTTTTTCTTTATCGCGTAACCTATTTGGCTTTGTCACGAACGCGCGAAACAAACCTCCCTTTTATCGTGCATCGTCACCCGCCCTTTTGCTCGTATTCTTCTCGTTTCTGGTTCTCCCTTTACCTGTTTTTTGCCCGTCGATTCGACGCGAAAATACGTTACACCAACGCGGTCGCCAACGCGGTCGAATTTCCGTGCGAGACCCTGATCGCGAGGGTAAAGAAGCAAGGAGCGGAACGGGATAGAAAACTGGAACGAAACGGACGAGTTGGCGATCGCGGTAGATTTTTTGCAGGACTAGACGACCAGCCACGAATCCGACTGACGAAGAGCAGTCGCGGATGCCGGATCGATCGCTCGCGATCGCATTGTTCGCTCTTGCCTTTTCAAACTACGTTTCCAGCAAACCCCCTTTTTTCTGCTCCATGCATATATACGTATACATCTAACTGGTTTACTTGTGTGTGTGTGTTTCCGTGTACCTGCCGCCGCTAACAGATGGGGACCAAGTCTCGCCAGAGAAAGGTAATTTTCTCTTTTACTTTTCATCTCTCTCGAACTCTTTATTTCTTTCTTTCTTTTTCTCCTACTTTGTTTTATACCTTTCCAATCGCACGATGCGGCATGCGTTCGATTTCATCGTTTCTCGTTATTTCTTCGATATCTTTCTTTTCCGCGCGCGTCGTCGTTTTCGCTTCAACGATTCGATCGGAGAGGAAACGTTGAAACGACGACGGACGACGGACGACGGATAGCTCGGACGACCAACGACGAACGCGGACGTCTAATCGAGCGACGCTCGGATGTTTCAGTCGCCTCTTCCGCGCGGGTACCCGCCTCCCTCTTCGACGATGTTGCTCGATGAAGACCCGGGCATCATGTCCGAGGTGGAGACATCGAGCACCGGATTCCGACGGGGTGGCAAGCAAAGAAGCAGCCTCCCCGTCGTACGGAACCCCAGCAAAACATTGGAGCGACCACTAGGTAACTCACGACCCGCGATAGAATTAGGAGCGTCTTGTTGCTGCCTCGCTGCTCGATGCCCTTGTCGGACATTCCTGACGAAACGATGCGTTTCTGTGGACGATTCCTTAGGTCTAGTGTTCCTGCAGTATAGGAACGAGACGAAGCGGGCGCTCCTACCCAACGAAATCACTAGCATAGACACCGTCAAGGCACTCTTCGTCCGAAGTTTCCCGAAACAACTGACTATGGAGTATTTAGACAGTCCTCACGTCAAGGTTTACATACACGATAGCAACAAGGACATGTTCTACGAACTCGAAGATCTCAGGTACGCGTCTACCCTCTCTGTCTAACGATTCTCTTAATAGGGAAACCTGTCGATCGTTTCACCGAGGAATTCGCCTCCGTTACAGATCGCATCTGAGAGACATCCGAGACCGTAGCGTGTTGCGACTGTTCGAGAGCACCGACGGCGTGACGGGGATGTCGGGACCTTTGGGAATACCCGGGACCGGAGCGGGATTGCCGCCTCATTGGGAAGACCAGAGCTACTTCAGCGAGCCGGAATTCGACAGCGAGTATCAGCATCAACACATTCACAAAAGCAAGGTAACGATCGTAACGTTTATTGCTCATTTCGTGATACGTACGCGCTCGAAATGATCGTGCGCTCACGCGTACAAGCTCGACGAATCTACGCGCTGATTCGCTACGCGACGTCCGAGGCTCCAACGGCCAAGTTAACCTTAACCTTAAGCCTAAGTCTAAATCGGCGAATAAATACGACTCGGAACTCGAAATTCGAGTTCGCGACGCGTAGGAGAGAGATCCCGTGTCAGTGGCGATGGCGGTTCACTCGAATGGGGCTCAAAACGCTTTGCACACCGGCGATGCCGGGAGATGTAACGCGCCGGAGTAGAGTTTCTTCGGGACCGATCTCCAGGCCATGATCAACGCCTTCGAGAACGGTTCGTCGGCGCAGCCGTCGCAAACATCCATAATCATTTTCACCTCGGCCTCTGCCGGCTCGCGCTCGTCGTCCTTGTTCTCGTATTTCGGTAATTGAAGTCCAAAGTTCGCCAGACCGGCAAAGTAATCGTTGTCTAATCCCTGAGACACGTATCCGTCGTCCACGATCAGCCCGTCTCCGAGTTGTACCAACTCTCTCTTCTTCGGCTCGGAATCCCTTTTGCCTAGTCTCTTCACCTTGTCGGACGTTTCGCTCTCTTCCCGCGGCACGAACGTCACCTGAAAATTCGCTCGTTTTCGATTCCGCTCGTTCACCGTTTCCGACTGTCTCTCTTACCTTGCCGTCCGAACGTTCGTCCGTCTCGTTGTCGGTCATCGGCGTCTCGGTGGCCGTCTCTTGGAGACCGGCATTCGCTTCCTCCTCCGAGCTCTTTTCCCTCTTGAAGAGATTGTGGTACGAACCGTCGGCAAAGTTTCCGCTTATTCCGTTGGAAGACGGCGAAGCAACGGCGGGTTGCGGGTTACCGAAGAACTGGGAGGCTCGCAGGGGAAACGCGGTGGATACCGCGGGG